AGAGAGAGAGAGTCAGAGAAAGAAGAAGAATGAGAGGCAGGGGGACACAGACAGAGAAAAAAATACCCATTTATCTTGAACAGAAGTCGAGATATTTGCAATTGAAGGAGATGAGGTCGCCTGGTTTCAGTGTTAAAATTAGAGAGAAAAAGGCCGCGAAAGTTCGGCAACTTCAATAGCTTGAAAGTCCTTGACAACTGATTTAAATTACATATTGTTTGCCTTTAACTAATGTTTTTCTAAAACCTTAAGGAAAATGTGTTTTTAAATGGACATATTATCATGTGCTGGGTCCAAAAAAAGAGAGAAAAAAAAGAAGAAAAATTGATAACAATTTCCAAACTTATGGAAAAAATGCCTATTCCTTCCATTATTTCATTATTCTAACGAGCGCCTGATTTCAACAAGATGACTCACAAATATCACAGGTACAATAGCAGCCACTGGATGACCTACGAAGACCCTCAGAGCCTGGCCCAGAAGTTGGAATACCTGATCAAATGGAACGTGGGTGGCATCATGCTGACGTCACAGTCCCAGGACGACATCTCCGGCCAGGAGTGTGACGTGGGACCTTTCCCTCTGTCCTCCTTAGTGTACAGAGTGGCCGCCTTCCACCTGGATAACTGGCTCGGCTTCGGGGAACAGAACTGGAGAGGTCACTGTGAGAAGGTCTATGCCAGGGGAAACGTGGCTCGGTCTTCTCTTGTGGTTGTTGGCCTGTCGGTGGTCATGGTGGTGGTTGTTGGCGGGGAGTGGAACTGACTTTAGTAATGTGTGGGTTTTTAGTGAGTGTTAATGATGATGATAATGATGATGATGATGATAATGATGGTGATGATGATAATGACGATTTAAAAAAAAAAATAATTTAAAAAAATAATGATGATGATGATGATGATGATGATGTTGTGGTTGTTGGTCTGTCGGTGGTCATGGTGGTGGTTGTTGGCGGGGAGTGGAAATGACTTTTGTAATCTTTGAGCTTTTAGTGAGTGTTAATGATGATGATGATGATGATGATGATGATGATGATGATGATAATGATGGTGATGATGATAATGACGATTAAAAAAAAATAAATTTTTTTAAAATAATGATGATGATGATGATGATGATGATGATGATGATGATGATGATGATGATGATGATGATGATGATGATGATGATGATGATGATGTTGTGGTTGTTGGTCTGTTGGTGGTCATGGTGGTGGTTGTTGGCGGGGAGTGGAAATGACTTTTGTAATCTTTGAGCTTTTAGTGAGTG